CCTATCAGTGCTGCCTCATCAGCGCAGCCTATCAGTGCTGCCTCATCAGCGCAGCCTATCAGTGCTGTCTATCAACGCATATCAGTGAAGGAGAAAAACATGTTTGCACAATTTTAGAAACAAAGAAAACCTTTTTTCAAAATGTTCACTCTTTCGTTCATAGTGCAAAAAATAAAAATCCCAGTGGTGATTAAATACCAGCAAAAGAAAGCTCTATTTGTGTGAAAAATATGATAAAAATGTTATACGAGTACAGTGTTGCATGACCACGCAATTGTCATTCAAAATGTGACAGCACTGAAGCTGAAAATTGGCCTGGGCAGGAAGGGGTTAAAACTGCCCAGTAGGCAATTGGTTATTTATTAAATATTATAGAGCTGCATTAAAGTGGAGCTTCAGTCTCTCAATCAACTTTGACTATTTTGAATCCTTATGCTGCTAGCATTAGTAAATAGATAGAAATGTATATTATACTTGTTTTAAACTGTTTTTACATTTCTTTAATTACTTCCTAGTTTCCATGCCTAGGCAAATAACATTATACATCCCAGGAGTCTTCAAGGATGCTGGCCAGTATTTTTATAAAATGCTTCAGTTTGGCAGTTTAACAGTGTGGAGATGATTTATACTTACTAGATGGTAGTGAAAAAAAAAAAAGATTGCTTGCTAACTAGTTTCAGCGTTTTTGTAAATAAGCCTTATTGTTCCATACCATAAAGATATTTACACCTTTCAATTTGTAACTTTGCATATTCCATTAAAAAGATTTTCCAGTTTGATCAGCGTGCTGTTCTCAGCCATCACAGCAACTTAAAGTGGAACCACACTGTATCTGAGCATCACTGTATCTGAGCACCATAAACCAATATTCAAAACAAACTCCCCCATCCATCCATGTCTCCATGCTTTATTTAGCTGAGAAATCTCTTTGCAAACACCCCTCTAGCATTTCGAGCTGTGGCCATCTTAAGTAAAGCAAAATGATTCAAGTAGCATTCCTGGAATTTATCTGCCCTTAGTTCAGGCTTGCAGGCAGGGGGGTGTGCATAGCTGAGAAAACCTCTCCTCCACTCCTGACGACTCCTGGAATGTATGCCATCATTTGCCTAGGTCTGGAAACTAGCAAGTAACTTAAGAAACATAAAAAAAAATTTAAAACAAGTAAATATGATCTACTTTCCTATTTATTTACTAATGCTAGCAGCATAAAGATTAAAAATAGCCAATGTTGATTGAGAGAGTGAAGTTCCACTTTAACACCCCGGTCACACTGATCCAACTTTGAAATCATGTGACTTCCAGTGAGGTCGTGCGATTTCAAAGTCGGATGGTATTTCGACTTGAGGTGCGACTTGAAAGACAACTGCGGTTTGCAAGACACAGGTATCTATGCAAGTCGCACCTGTAAAGCATGCACTACTTTACAAATCGGCGCGGCTCCGACCAAGTTGGAATAGCAACGATATGACCGCTTTAATTGCGGACAATAGGTTGCGACCTGCACCTCGCATGGCATTGCAAGTTGCACCCGGTGTGACCGGGGTGTAAATCTGCAGCTCCAGGTAGATAGTGGGTTTATTTACTAAAACTGGACAGTGCAAAATCTGGTACAGCTATGCATGGTAGCCAATCAGCTTCCAACTTCAGCTTGTTCAATTAAGTTTTTTCAATGAATGAAACCTGGAAGCTGATTGGTTTCTATGCAGAGCTGCACCAGATTTTGCACTCTCCAGTTTTGGTAAATAAAACCCGACATGTACATCACCAAGGCTGCTGTAAGAAACTACGGGGCCCCATACAGCCAATCTGGCAGCCCCTCACCAAAAAAAAGAAAAAATAGTTCACTATGTTTCAGTTATGAATGAACACAGGAAGTGTTTGGTACCGATCACTCATGTTCATTCAGGAAAGAAAGTGGCTGGCAAATGTTACATATTTACCTAACCCTTCTCCCACTCTCCATCCTGAAGGATCCTATTGTGTACTTGCAGCTGCTGTGGAAAGGAGAGAAGGGAAGCTGGCAGCAGTACGGGGGCACACAGGGGAGCCTGGGCAGCAGGGGGAAATGTAAGGAGCGCAGGGAGGGTGATGGGTGCACTGGGGGGCAAATACTGGAACCGATCCCCTGTATGGCTCTCTCTGCAGCAGCTGAAAGCCAGTGGGAGAGAGAGGAGAAGAAGCCGGCTTTCAGCTGCTGCAGAGAGAGCCATACTGGGGATCGTTCCAGTAATTGTCCCCCCCCCCCCCCCATGCTGATCACACTCTCTGCCCACATCCGATTCACCGAGCTGCCTGGGCCCCCTTGCTGGCCTGCAGAGCCATACAGGGGATCATTCCAGTAAATGCCCCCCCCCGTGCTGATGACACTCTCTGCCCACATCCGATTCACCAAGCTGCCTGGGCCCCCTTGCTGGCCTGGAGAGCCATACAGGGGATCAGTTCCAGTAATTGCCCCCCTGCTTTGCTGATCACCCTCCCTGTCTACATCAGATTCACCCTGGGCCCCCCCTGCTGGCCTGGGCCCGGTACAGGACGACTGGTGGTACCCCCCCCCCCTTATCCATGGCCCCGTACATCACACTGGGCTTCATTTGATATGTGATGGAAGATGAGTCTCTGACAGTTAGAATATTATTGGTTTCTAGAAACAAAAAGTGCCAGACGTCTTCCCCTTTGAAGCCTCTGTATGGCTGTGCTGATTTACCCAGAGTCCTGACAAAGTGGTACGTAAGGGGACAACTGCAGAAATGAAGGCACTTTGTTCACCCAGTACCCAGCAATATTTTTGACAATAGGACATTTATTTAAGCATGGCATTAAAGAGATCACATGAACTGAAACTTTCCAGAATGGCTGGATAAATAGAAGTCATGTTGTTGATGGAAGTTTTGTCATTTTTGATCTGTTCCAACGTTGACAAAATATAAATGTGTGAAGAGGAAAAGGCTGTGTCCTCATTACCATCCTATTCTTTCCTGTTATATGCACACTATCAGACCTATACATTCTGTACTCTGCCCAGTGAACATGCTATCTCTTGTGATGTCAGAGGCGGCTGGAACAGACGGGTGTCTGAGTGCACTACACAAAGACATAAATTCACCAGCTTAAGTACAAGATAAGCTGAAAAGACAGAGTGTGGAGAGAAGGCAGGCCAGGCTGGACTGATATTTACCTGTGACCTTGGTAAAATCATTATCTACTATTGTGTCACATTAATGAATTCCACTTTTCTTTCTTTCCACCTGCTGCAGATGAGAGTGTCATACAGCACAGGGAAGCAGTGACATCTAGCCTGGGCAAGCTGCAAGAGGCGGATAAAGAAGGAGAGGCATGTTTCATTGAACACACAGAGCCAGATAGATGGCACTGCACTCAAACAATGTCATCCGCTTATCAAGATCTAGACCACCAAAACCATTCACATCTAAGTAGTGCTGGTGAGCAAATAACACGGGAGGAATTCTACCGAAGGGGTAGATCTGTGATTATACTGCCCATCCTGCTGTCACTTGTGGTCCTGCCCACATCTTCAATCACTCAGTGTAATTGTTCTGAATTTACTACTGGAAAAGGTCGAAATAGCATTGCTAGTAAAAAGAAGCGGATTATTTATTACCCCAGCAAAGATTAGTGAGAGGAGGGGGAAGGAAACAAGCACAAGGGCAAACATACCACAAACATATACTGTATACACACAAACACACTTTTTGTAAATCAGAGATAGCAAGGGACTAAGGCCGCGTTCACACTGGACTTTATTTCTAACGCCTGCCAAACGCCCCTATAGTGTTTGACAGGCGTTTGGGAAGAGTTTTTAATGCTCCCCAAACGCCCTATGCGCATTTTTGAGGCGCTTGATAGCCATTTGCAAAGCGTTAAAACCGCACCACAAACGCCTAGAATTTATTTTGTTTATGGTACTTATATAGCGCCGTCCATTTGCGCAGCACTTTACATATATATTGTACATTCACATCAGTCCCTAACCCTCAAGAGGTGTACAATCTAAGGTCCCCAAACTCACATTCATACATACACATACTAGGGCCAATTTAGACAAGATCCAATTAACCTACCAGCATGTCTTTGGAGTGTGCGAGGAAACCAGAGTACCCGGAGGAAACCCACACAGGTACAGGGAGAACATGCAAACTCCAGGCCAGGGGCGGACTGACAACTCATGGGGCCCCCAGGCAATAGGGGATCATGGGGCCCCTGTGTCCTTGCCCAAACTCAAAAAAGCCTATGAAAAAGGTACCAGGGGCATCTCATGGGGCCCCCTACTGACCCCGGGCCCTCAGACAGTGCCCGAGTTTCCAAATGGTCAGTCCGCCCCTGCTCCAGGCAGGTGGTGCCATGGCTGGGATTCGAACTAACAACCCTAGTACTGCCAGGTGGAAGTGCTAACCATTTAGCCACTGTGCTGCCCTATAATGACGTTTAATGGTATTAGCGCTCCGCAAACGCCTGCCAGATGTTTGAAAAGTGTCACCATAGACGAATGGGAGGTTTCAACTCCTCCTGACTGGACATGAGGTGCCAGTTTTGCCGCGACGCTAACGCTTCAGTGTGAACAGCACTGTGTGCTGCCATGTGTAGAATTTTCATAGGCATTTGAGAAGCGTTAAAAACGCTTCCCAAACACCTGACGCCTGCTGACAAAGCTAATGTGAACGTAGCCTAACAAAGAAGTTATGAGTGTTTATAAAGATCTTATTATGGAACACAAATTTCCAACATGCTGGAAATTCTCTACATCTGATAATAAGCTGTTTCTTTTATGCTTTAGGAAGGACTGAACTTTTCAGTAGGCATTCAAAACACCGGTTTATTACCTGAAATGAGAAGATGGATGCGAAGGCCCAAAGAGGGTTACTGAAACCACCATAATTCAGTTTAAAACTGAACAGTAAAATCAGTCTGTATATACAGTAGAGCATGCATGTTATACTCACCATGGAACCTAAGGGGTTAATCATCCACATTGTGTAAAAAGGATGTTTGATCTTCTCTTCTTAACCCCCTCCCTTCTACTATTCTTAATCCATCTGCTGATAAAACAGAGCCTCGGGGGCAAGCTGCACATGCTCAGTTTGGTATGTATTGCTACAGTTTTAATTTTCTTGGGAATGTGCATGTGATCAGCACAGGGCCAATCAGCACTGTCCAGACACAGGTCAAGGATCCTGAAGCCTCATGGGACAATCAGGGGAGAATGAAAACTCCTCCTACAAGCTTTAACCAGTGCTCTGCTGGACACTGATAGAAGTCACAAGACTGCTCTAACTGCTGATGAGAAAAGGTAGGGGTCAACATGCTGATCTGCTAAATTGAAGGATCTTTCAGCCAGTCAGCTTATTTTAAAGTGTCTCTGTCATTCACTCTACCTAGTCTGCCACAGTACATAGAACATGGAAATGCAATTATTTTAGTAAATATAAACTGCTAAATACCTTTTCTCATTAGAGGTTAGAGCAGTCTTGTGACTTCTATCAGTGTTCAGCAGCGCAAAGGCATTTAGCAATTTATATTGACTAAAATGATTGCCATTACTCTGTGTACTGAGGGAGACCAGATATAGTGAATGCAGGATCCTAGGTTTAGTAACACTTTAAGCCCAGTATATCTACCAGTGCTCACACGCCGTGCGGAGTAACATGCATTGCTGTACCAAGCAGGCCAGTGCAGTGCTGGCTCCAACAGGGAGCAGTGTGGTCCTTTTTTAATTTTTTTTTTACAACTTTATTTCACTTCATTAATGTCACTGTACAGCAACACTGTGCATTGCGCTGCTGTACGGTGACATGCAGTGCCATCCAGTGCATTGCGCAAGAAATTGCAGGCATGCTGCTGTTTTCCTGCAGTGCATATAACACCAGTCCTGCGGTGTAAATGAGACATAGAAAACAATTAACGTGCCCCAGCAGTGACCTGCATTTGTCCAATATGGATAATGCAGGTCATTGTAAATCGTGTGAACAAGCCCTAGTTTGGCCATAGGGCTGAGTTGGGCAGCATTGCCTAATACAGTTCCAAAGCAAGAACAAGACAATTTGCCTTATTGTCCTCTGTCTTCAGTTCAAAATATGCTGCACTGATGTGTGCTGAAAATAGGACATGTTTTTTTTTTTTGTGCTGTGTGTTTCAACAAGCTGTAATGCATCACAACATGATACAGCACATAAAAATCACATACAAGTTAAAAAGTAAAAAATAAACACTGCAAGACTAAGCTCAAACATTTTACAGCAGTGGTACTGCCCAGTGCAATGTTATTTTATTCCTGTTGCTTCTGGAGAGATCTGCCAATGGGTGAATAAAGGATTTTTTTCCTCTTTTTTTTATTTTTTTATTTAGGACCCATTTACACCATTTGCAGCCTTGCTCAACGCAGTCCCAATACAAAGACAAGGCAATTTACTTTGTTTGCTATGAAGCCTTTTGTATTGCGGTGTTGTGTATGGAAAAAAAAGCACTGCATGCAGTCCTTTTTTCAGCGCTGTGTGCTGCAATGCGAATCACCACATTGCAAAGCCGTTGTGGTAAATAAATCTCAATAGCCTGTCCCTTACAAAATTTCAGTAAAATTCTCACGAAAAAAAACCCAAAAATGTATTTACTGCAATGTGCCGGGATCAAACATTAGCATTGTTCCTCCCAGCATACACCATCAACCGCGAGTTTAGTGTGGTAGCTGGAGTGAATGAGCCCTTAAAGTGGTTCTAAAGTTTGACTTTTTTTTATCTTAATGCATTCTCTGCATTAAAGTAAAAAACCTTCTGTGTGGTGCTGCCCCCCACCCCCCTCCCCCTTATACTTACTGGGGACCAATCTTGATCCAGCGCTGTGCACGAGAGCAGTGGCACTCTTCCTCCTCATTGGCTCCTGCTGTTGTTAATCACAGCTAGTTAGGAGGGAGCAGGTGGTGGGACTGAGCCCCGCTCTGTGTGGCAATGGACACAAACAGCTGGCTCAGGAGCAAGCACACACAAGTGTCCACATAGCAAGCGCCTTGCTAAGGGGACACTCGGAGGGGGGTTGGTTGGGTGGGGGTATAGCACCAGCGGGAGGCTCGAGAAAAGAAGGACCAGGGATGCTCTGTGCAAAACCACTACACTGAGCAGGTAATAAGACATTTTCCCCCCCCACAAAATAAACAACTGGAGCCTTTGCAATCACCTTACAGTAAACATGTCACATATATGAAATATGGGAGCTGAAATGGCTAAACTTTTAAACAAAACTCTAGATCCCTGACTGGCCATAGCTTCACTGCTTAGCAAGTCAAATGCTGCATGAGCTTGTAAGTTGGGACTTTTTACTGTACTTCTCTGGCTGCATACTTGTTCTGGATCACTGAGCGACTATTGGGAAACCATAGCATGAGTACAGAAGCCAGGAAACTAGCAACCCATTTAAATAAAAATGAAAAAAAAAGCCTGTAATAGACACACTAATGTTCCAATAAGTATTAGAATTCACTTCGCTTGCAAGTCAATGCATTAAAGTGGTAAATGGTACATTCACCTTTTTTGGTGGTCCTGTCATGAAAAAGGCATGGAGGCCGCCATTGCTGGCCTCCTCCTTAAAAATATTGTTCCCTGTCTAGTGTTGATACTTTTATGAGTCACTGACTAAGAACATAGTTTGTAAATGAATGTTTGAAATATGTCAGAATCTCTTCTCTACACTTGCTTTGGGTCAGTGACTCTGGAGGCATTAAAGCTGAACTACAGTATTTCAGCTGCTCTGTAAAATATGCAAGCATACCATGTGTTTAGTGCAACCAAGTGCATGCCACCTCATTGACTTATCTCTTTTATTTACACCTTAAAAGTTTCAAGAAGTCAGCTATCACTACATCTGGGGCTCTGAGAGCAGAGCCGCTGTGTTCTCACATACAGCAGCTCTGCCTGCCTCGCCCCTTGGCTACCCATTCACAGAAGCCTTTGTATTTTGTGTATGAGTCCACATAGTACAAAGCGATCTGCAATTGGGTAGAAGGAAGGGAGAGCCAGGCACAGCAGCTGCATGCAACTCTGCTGAGACCAGAAGGGCCAGTGTCAAGGCTCCAGAAATGTAGTTATAGCTATCCTCCCAGAGCTCCATAAAACTGTCAAATGAAGTTTAGAGAGCTAAATCCACAAGGTGGCATGCACCTTGTTGAACTTAACTCATAGAATGCCTGCACATTACACAAAGTGGATACATTCCACTTTATATAAAGCCATTGCATCATCTTGGCAGACAGGCAACTAGCACTTTCAGAAAGACTGATCTGCAATGCCAGACTCAGTGATTCACTTATGACAAAGTTTCCCCCAAAGCAAACCTATCTTGCCAATGTAGGACATATGCTTCCCTAGCAGCACATATGCTTCTCTGTTCAGTGTTGTGAAATAATATTCAGTTCCTTTTGTGGAGTAGCTTGTATATCAGAACCTGGAATACCTGCTGGTGGCATTGTGGCTCCTAGAACTGAAAGGCACAGTTCTGGTGGCCATCAGTGGGTGTCTAACAGCAGGCATGCTGGGAAGGTATATAACCCCTCTCTTAATTCTCATCAGTGCTTCAGTGTCGATTCACATATATGCAGTTTGGACCACATGGCATGTGAAATAACATTGCTTCTTATGGTGCCTGTTCACATATGTCCGATGCACTGGTGGTGTGGATTCATCACAGATTGAAAAAGAGTCCTGTCCGATTTCTGAGCTGTGTGGTCCGGTTCAGGTGCAGATTACAGGCTATCGACTTCAATGGGAGCAGTTTCTAAACAGCACCTGTGTGAACAGAACAAAATCCTGACCTGAACCTGATGTAAACCTGATATGAACCGATGAACAACTACTGCGTCAATTAGATGTGAAACCTGAGCTTCAATCCGCACCACACACATGTGAAACAGCTCTCAGTATTATCCCTGTTAGTCATATACCTGCTTGCCGATTATCCTAATCCTTGCCTTATCCTGTACCTTGCATCCCTGTAGTCCCATCTTTGTTTTCCTTGTTCCCAATCATTCCCTGTTTATGTCAGCTTCCCTTCTATTTGTATATAGTATATTATTGTTAGATTGCCCGTGTCCACAGCCTAGCACTCCACTGATCACTGGAGGGACAGAACAGAGAGCTGGTGACTGAGAAACACTGCTCTCTGCTCATGGACCACTGAGAACTGAGTGATCAGTGGTCTTTGATTGCTCAGTTCTCAGTCTTAGAGCCTGCAGGGGGCAGATGCAGCATCGAATCAATGCTGCATCCACCTGAGTGTATATTTATTTATTAATTTAACCCATACTTCTCTTTTAAGCTCCTTTACTCTGCTGCGCTTATCTCTGACTCACAAGTGCCTTATGGTAAACAGAGTTCTGATCTGATTTAGGTTTTGAAAGAATGGAAAACTATTGGGGTTGCCAACAGTAACAAGTAAACAAAGTTTGGGAAAGATGGTTGTTTAATTATTCCACCACAATGCTTCTACAATTAGAAAAAGTTGCTAGCTGCCTCTCGTGTAGTTCTGTGTCGGTGTATACTGGAAGTGGAAATCTGCTAGAAATGAGGTCTGTTTTTTTTATACAGAAAGGGAGTATGACAGGACCGCATGCCCTGCAATAATAAATGGGGGAAAGTTTTACCAGGGTAATATGATGCACTGAGGATGTTAAACTTTCCCAGATGTTGGAAAGTGCTTGGTATCCGGCATTAACATGAAAAAGTTATTTTCTTCGCTGAATATAGCAAGATCGCTTAAGTCCAAGGCCTAAAGAAATTCCACATGCAAATATCAGAAATAATTTCCTGTCCTGTTTTGTGCACTTCTAACCACCTGCAACAAGACACTTTTTCCCGGAGTTTAAATGAGGATAAGGACACCTAATGCAATTCAACAAGCACGATTTTACAAGCAATCAGAGACAGGACAAAAGGCATAAGAGGAGACCCTGGAAAGAAACATATCCCTCTATATACTATAAGTCAGAGAAGTGTTTGCAGTTTTAGGTATATGTGAATGTTGATGGGCTTGTTTTAAATTATATTTATATCTTCAAGTGGACATAATGCTGAAGACAGTTCAATTCTTAAATGTTTACTTATTGCCAACAGAATTACTTGGCTTTCTTTCAATCAAGTTGATGCCAGCTAAATAGATAAGTAACAGTCATTTAAATACCTTGCTCAGTCTTATGTCGGTCTGTGCTTTCACTTATAAAACTGTTGGATTCTATGCAGGGAAACTAAGAAAAACAATGTAGACCCTGTGGACTATCCTGCTGTGTATGAAGATGAACTTGATATATCACAGCAGTCAGAGAGGAAGGGCTTGAACTATGTTTTGGATAGTATAGAGAAGGCCAATAATTGCCAACTGCCTGTTGCTGGAATTTATTTTTCCCTATTGGCTGAGGTCAACTACAAGAAATTAAAGATACATTCCAGTCCAATAGAAGTGATGGCATTGCATTTGGCAAAGAAGATTTTAACACTAAATATTTACAGCTGCATTCTAGGCATTTTTAAAGAGATTTGACATAAGGGTGCGAAAAAGTACTTACTATCACATCTCTGCACAGGTGCTGTTAGCTGGGCCAACAAGAGG